GCCGCCCTCCCTCCTGCCTGCACTTCGGGGACCGCGACCGCCGCTCGGCACCGGCCCCCGCGGCCCCGACCCGGGCATACCGTCCTACCTGCCGGCCCGGTGGACGGCGGAGGGAGGAGCGCGCAGGAGGGCGGGCGGGGGGCGCACGTGACGTCCGCGCAGCCGGGCGGGCGGGGCGGGACCCTGTGAGTGCAGGCGGCTGCAGGCTCCCCGCCCTCCGCTCTTCCTGTGCCCCAAATTCAAGGCAGTGGCGATGGACGAGGTGGAGGGCGGACCGACAGGTGAGGGGCGGAAGGAGGCTGCCCAGGTGAGGGTCTCCCGAGGGCCACCCCAGCAGCGAGGGGCCCCCCAACCTGGGGCAGCCTAGTTGCCATCACTCCTCCCTGGAGAGGGAATAGTGATCCCTGTATTCCACATAGCTTAACACTTAATTCCACTTGGGGCAGTGGTTAAGGGATGTGAACCCAGCCAGGGCCAGGCCTGGGCTCACTGGCAGAGTGGTTTGGGGGGTCAAGAGTCCCCACAATACCTGCCTCATCCTCCTGTGGGACCTGCTCGCTGACTGCTACAGGCCAGTGGGGCGAGGGGTTCCTTCTGTCCACCTCCCCAGGGTCCTTCTGCGTGGAGGCTGGAGGGAGGGTGGGTGCCTCCTTCTCTAGTGACCATGGCTGATCAGCACCCAGGGACGCAGGGGAGCGAGCCAGAGGCCTTCGGTCCCTGCTCTATCCAGAGCTGGGCAAGGACCCTGCTGGTCACCACTTACCCGAGGCTGCCATTCCTCTCCACAGCTGGACCGGGCAGCTCTGCCCAGGCCGCCCTGCACTTTGGAAGCCAGGGGTGTGTGCTCAATCAGCCAGGTAAGCCCCAGGGCACCCACGTGCTCGCTTACTGGCAAATCAGGAGTGGACAACTTCACGCGGTTTTCTCCATGTCCTTGCTGGACCGAGGCAGCCACACCCAGCAGCTAGGTCTTTGCCGACTGAAAAACCCATGGCCTGCCCTCCCTCTCCCCCACCCTGATTAGTAAGCAAGCACAAGGAAGGCCATGCTTGCCTGGCTTCCTGGCAACTCCCTCCCTGGCCAGGATCGGAAATATGGACAGAGTGCTGGTTCTTTGAAGGTGCTGTGGGCTGGGGGAGCGAGGGGTGCCCGCCAGACCTGGGAGCCAGCTCTCTGATGGGGTGACGGCTAGTAAGTCAGCACCAGGAGGCTCCCGCTTGTCTACCTTACCTGGCTCAAGGGGCCATCGGAAAGCTCCAGGAGAAGGGGTTCTTGGGGGCCAGGGGCCTGGGCGGCCAGCCCACCTCCTGCAGAGGTAACCTTGCTCAGAAACTGTCTTTGAAGATGAGTTAGCCTGCAAGTGGGGATGGGGGGGGGGGCGCTGGCTTGCGGTTCTTGATCAAAGGGGGAGAGAGAGGCAGACGCAGAGGGAAGGCTGCCGCAGGGACAATGGAGTGAGGTGACCGCTGGCCTCTCCAGGAGCCTTATGGGGACGTGTGCGGCCAACACCTGACTTCAGACTCAGACTCCAGTGAGACCACGCCCAGCGGTCAGCTCTTGCAACTTCGCTTGAGACCATCTCTCCACCTTTAATTTTATCTTCAGAGGGAGTCACACCTCCACGCCCCCTGTCAGCTGCTTGTCGCCTAACACCCGCTCCTGGAAGAAGTGCTGAGACCTGCCACCTGCACCAGTCACCTGCTTCGGATTTTTCCTTTTTTACCTAGTTTCATTCAGGTCGGTGGATGGCAGGCAGGGAGAGAGGTAGATGATAGATGGGTGGGTGGGTGGATGGATGGATGGATGGATAGATGGATGATGGATGGATGGATGGATAGATAGATAGATAGATAGATAGATAATAGGTAAGGGATAGATAGATGATACATAATAGCTCGAGTGAAACAAAACAAAGAAACACTGCCCCCAAGTCAATTCTTACTCTGAGTAACCAGTATCGCGTTTCTGAGACTGTAAATCTTCACAGACAGCCTCACTTTTCTTCCACGGAGCAGCTGGTGGATTTGAACCATGGACCCTGTAGCCAACAACCCCATGCTGGCTTATCCCACATGCAGACTAAGGGGGCATCAAAAAGTTCTTGGAAAATCCCATGGTCCTTTCCCCCCTCCCCTTCCACCCTGATGTAGGTGAGCAGACCACCCTTTCACTTTCCACAGTGCCTTCCCGTGTGGCCTCAGATCACCTGCAAGCCCGTCAACACCCCCATGCCCACCCCCTCCCTGCTCTGTTTCCACCCCCTTCCTCCCCAGCACTTGGAAGTGGTTCTTTCTCTGCACCCTGCCTGTTGGTCATCCTGAGGGGAGGGAGGGGATGAGCTCCCTTCCAGTCCTGAAGAGTGACTAAGGACCTGGTCTTCAAGGGTGTGGCAGTGACAGCATCACCTGTCAATTTGAGCGAAGGGGTGGTGCCTAGCCTGTCAATCAGGTCTTAGCCAATCATGCCTCTTTGTGAGCAGGGCCTTCTCCTGAGGATTCTGGGAACTCCTGTCTTCCTCCCTGGAGGCGGGA